TTAAATTTAACGCGCACGGACGTGTCAGAATCAACAAGGTGATTCGAGTGTAAATCTCAGAATCAACAAGGTGATTCGAGTGTAAATCGTCAACTATAATCTCTTTGAGAGTATTGACTATCAGGCATGCAAGAAGAAAGAATAATAAAACTCCTCTTTTGAGTTTAGTTTTGCCGAAAAAGACTTTAACAGTGAATAAATTTAGTAACAATATGATAATAGAAAAAGGCGAAAATATAAATATAGAAAGTGATAGGGAGAGATATAGAACAAGACTGAAATAGAAAGGGAGAGAGATAGAGATAACAAGGATGTTATATGAGGAAAGAGCTTGAGAAAACAATAACAATAATAAAAGATTTTGAGAAAACAATAACAATAATAAAAGATTCTGAAGGTGCTGTACCTCTTTCTTAGTATTCCTCTACAATTTATATAGTACATAAAATAAACTTCTATACGTAAGTATTTTACTTACATTATAACTCTATCAACCCTAAGTATAAATTCAAAATAAACTCATCATAGAGATAACTACTAATATTTAACTAAAATCAACTAAAAGATAAATACTAATTCTTAATCCCTATCTATTAGTTAATTCAAAGGCTTCTTTTATCTTTATCTCTCTTACAAAAATTCCAACTTTAAACCACGGGAAAAATACCATCCACCTGTAGTACACTGCCACATCACTACAAAGCCTACATCCCTCTACACACTCTCTCTCTCTCTCCTTTCCACACATCACTCCAGAAGTAGTTGGGTGGAGAAAGTAGAGAGAATTATAAGTGCATTTTAAGAAAATATATTTACAAGTTGATTTTATTTTATTTTATTTTATTTTATTTAAGAAAGACTTGAATACATTTCTCTTTAAAATGAGAGAAGATACCATTATATTACATGAAAATTAATTTATGAGTCTATCTAGCGTGTAGGGAAATCAAAATATACCATCTAACTTGTGCAGCCTTTCCAATTGAAGAAAACCAAGAATAATGAGGAAAATCATATTTACACTTTACTTTTTTACGTTTTGCATTATCATTTGAAAAAAAAAAAAAAAAACTATTTTAATCTTTATTATTATTATTATTATTTCAGATTACACTACTACTATTTGAGAGATGGAACAATATTTCAATAGATGCAAATCGCAGCCATATATCCAATGCCGAGTTCACGTAGATCCAGTGGGCTCATCGAATATATCAATTAGTTTAGGTTTAAGAGAAATGAGATTTGTGGATCACACAAAAAAAAAAAAAAACACACACACACACACAAAAGTGTAAAAATACCCTTTCCAATTTAACTATGTGCATGTAAGTTCTTAATATTTTAAAATATATGCAAATTGTCATTTAAAATTAAAAAAAAATCCCAAAATAATCAATATTTATAAATTAATGTTTCTTATTTTTATTTTGTTTTAATGACATTTTACATATTTCAGTATTGGCGCTATCTGTACTGTATTCCCCTACTTCAACACGAGAAGTTACCATTTGATTTTATCTCATGGCTTTCGGTTTTTAATTTTTTTTATTTTTAAAATAAGTCCTTTTTTGCTCAATTTGAAAAGTTTAAAAAAAATTCAAATTGAGCAAAAAAGGACTATTTAAAAAAAAAAAAATTTAAAAACCGAAAGCCATTTGATAAAATCAAATTTGAAAAGTATAAAAAAAAATTTTAACATCGCCAAATATTTGGACATTCTATATATATATAATAAAGAAAAAAAATAGCATGTCATATTTTATTGCACAATAATCAGATGTTGTAGAGTCTGTGATCAGGATAAGCAAACGCCATAAATAGTTGACCAGTCAACTATGGAATCCCAACATAATAATTTTCATGGACTGGACTAATTGCACGTCCACTCGAATGACTATACTCTCTAATAATATAGCACAGTCACGTTACACCTAATAACCGCGTACGAAATCAGTGTGTCCAAGTAAATCGTCTCGAAGGTGGCGTAGCCCCTCGCATACCGGAATATTCCGGTGCCGCCCACCACCGCCACCTCCCGCACACTCTCGAATTGGCGACTAGCACCTTGTATCTGTATTGTGCTGCCATTATAGGTTGCATTGGTGAACACAATTGATACCGAGACGTGTGTACTGGACCCGTCCAATGCCGAGGTCACAAATATACCTTGGACCCGTCCAATTTGGGCCGAGGTCTTATCGAAGCCCACTGTTATTGGGTCGTCTGAGCAAAACATGGTTCCGAAGCTGCTGAAAGTCCAGAGCCGGCCCGGGATGCCGGTGACAGGGACGACGGTGGCGTTTGGGCCGGCTGACCGGTCTTGGAGGTAGAGTGTCATGTTGGTTTCTTTAAGCTGACCAACTTCGGCTGATGAATATATGAACATTGTCACAAGCAATAACAAGCACAATTTAGTGGCTCTTGTTATGGACTTTGGTGCCATTGGAAATTGAAATAGTGAGTGAGTGACCAACTCAACAACTATGAATTAAGCTGCAGCGGTGGCTTGGATTTATAAAGTGAAGGGAGAGAAAGAGAGAGTTGACTGAGCAACATAATTCTACGTCAATGATCTCCAACTGGATCACTTTCACACTTAATGGATAGGGCTCCATACTTTGTATGGATGTGATGAGGATAGGCAGGACCTTGTCGGTTTTGTGTTCCACAATGGTGCCGTTTTGATGCATGGATACAAAATTCAATAAGGACCGTACTAGTATGTTAGGGCCCTTTGTTACCAATATTGAAAGCCATGTTGTGGAGTGAAACAGTACTGTTTTGATGCACAACACAAACACATATAATTTCTCACAGAAAAAAAAATTAGGGTCCATTTATAGTGAGTCTTTTACGCTGTTAGATTTTGAAAATTTTCAATTCAACTTATTGAACAGTGTTATAAATGTGCAATTTGATTTCTAAAATATTGATAGCACATATTTTGGATTTTGTACAAGGGAAAGCACAAAATTACTACTTTGGTAGACATATATACATGCAACATAGTTTTTTTTTTTATTTTTTTTTTATTTTGTTTAGATAAACTCCTGACTGTCGAAGCCGGCCCCACATTATAAGCAGCAAGATAAGTCAGGGAGAATAATGGGGATGGATGAATTTGAACCTGAGACGTCATGGTACCCAGATCGTTACCTTACCAACTCTACCAAGCCCCTGAGCACTATATGTAACATGGTTATAAGTTGTAATTGGTATAAAAGCAATATAAGCATACAGTGGTTGTGTAATAGTGCATGTAAGACTCCTTAATTTGAGGAATGTTGTTTTGTGGCTGACGAATACCTACTTAATCGACATAATTTAAGACATCAAATGTGTAAATAATTAGCATACTTGGATGATTTAATTAGCATAAGAAATAAAAGAAATTCAAATATGTATATTGAATATGCTGTGTGTTGGTCCAAACATCAAACCCAATAATGCTGACTTCTTGTATTCATTTAGGACCACATATTTGCCAAAAAGAGTTTATGGGATACATGGCGAGATGGTCATGTACAGTAGCCACAAAACAGGCTGGTATGGGACGGACCAAAATCCTCTTCATTGGAACAGTGCTCCTAGTCTGACCATTTTTACTGTAGCGGTAGTAAAAATGTTAAAATTTGTATTTATGGAAATATAATTTATACACAAAATATATATGAATTATACGCATAATATATACGTATATTAGAACAGTGTTACATCCAATTTGAAATTTGAAATTTTAAAAGCCTGCCCTTTATGGTATCTTCTTCTCCCAAAGCTCAAAATATAATCAGATTTTTATTTGTTATCAAAACAAGAGAGAGGTCTCATCTCTTTCCTAAAATTTGTTCTTCTTTCTTTTTTTATTTCCATAGATAATTGTTTCCAAAGAAACAGAGCAACTGGTGCATGCTGTGAATTCTCGGGTACATGAATTGCTGGAAAAACAAAGTTATAAGAAGGAAGAGAGAGAAGAGAAAGACTGTGAAAGTGTCCGGCGTAAATTATTTGGGTTTACAAAGATAAAGACTTACCTATTTTCAATATTGTAAGTTAAAGTCGTTTCCAATATATTAGGTTTGTTTTTTTTAGTTTGTTGATGTATTTATAAGTTTATTCCTGATCTGAACCACTATTAAAGGTTATATATATTGTATGGTATCTGAACCCTAATTAATGTTGGAGACAAATATTGCATTTATTGTTCTTATGATTATTTGGATTCGGATTTTGTGAAAAAAAAAAAAAAAAATTGATTCCTTTTTATTTAATTCTGAACCTTAATTAATATTGGAAATAAATATTGCATTTCTCATAGTACTGATTCTTTAGAATTGTATTTTGAAGAAAAAATTTCAGCCATTTTTAATGTTGGAAACAAATATTGCATAATCATTGTTCTTACCTTTTTAATGTTGGAAACAAATATTGCATAATTACTGTTCTTATGATTAATTGGGTTCATATTTAATATTGCATATTGCAAAATTTTCAAACCATAATTAATGTTGGAAACAAATATTGCATTTATTGTTCTTATGATTAATTGGGTTCATATTTTGAAGAATAATTCTTGACCTTTTTTTCTATGACATGTGAACCCTAATTAATGTTGGAGAGGAATTTATATTTTTAAGTATCAGTATATAGTTGATAATTAATAAATGGATGAAAAATTGTTCAAATTTAATTACTGATATATACTAGAATAGAGTTGGGATGTACTTTGTTATACAGAATGGACGATATGTTTTTGTTTGATATTGTTTGTAATAGCAATTGAGAATTATGAGTGGTCATAATAATTAGTAGTAACTTAACATAGTTTTAATATTTAAGAAAATACTAGCCCCAAAAAAGATTTGAAGTTCATGTCTCAGTTGGAAAAAGTAAAATAAAAAAACTAAACTGTCACATTATTGTACGAAATTAAATATATTCATTGACTTTAATTTTTTCTATAGTCTTATCCTAACGTTATAGATAATGGATTGCCTTTTGGTTTTAATTTGGTTTGCAATTGAGAGCCTTGGATTCTTGATACATTGTGTTTGTTTAATAATCTTAATGGGTCACAAAACTGTAGTTGTAAATTTGCTGAGATGAATACAATTTATAGTTGTGGTAAAGGCAAAATTGGAGAGTAACAAAAACACTGACAAAATCCCCAATAGCCTCAATTATAAAGATACATGTAAATGAAAATGTAAGAGGTTGAAACCAACCATAGAGCTAAAGATTCATAATACGATGAACTCAACGAAAGGAACAACTCAGGTTGAGGTACTTTTCTCCCCTTACCGTTTTCCATGTAGTTTCATAAGTAATACCATTTGTCTATTAAATTATGCACACGTAATAAATCTCATTATTATATTGCAGAATTTCATTGAAGCATTTGTATCCGGAGAGGCAAGTGGCAGTCAAAGTTGAACAATCCCCTACCACCTGTTCGTTACTATCAATATTGTTGCAACTATAAAAAATTTCATATGTGACGCCACCACCACCTGCAATATTAATGCTGGTGAACTCAATACTCCATTAACTAACCAGACAAATGTGCTATTAAGGTGGAACATGCATTTAAGAACGACTCCAGATGTAAATTGGATTGCATTTTGTCCAATCATCACATTCAAAGATACCAGATGTAAACAATTGCCGATCGACTGGCACGCCAATGTCCCACTTGTCAATTTCGGAGATAGGCTGACCAATTCAACGACGACTCTTTGATTCTTGACAGTTATTCCAATATGTATTTAACTTTAATTTTATGATGTTGTTCATTTACGTCTGCGTACTTGTAGCCTTTTGGAATTTGCGCGAGTTATTTTATATGGTATGTACATTTTGGTATATCTGGAAATATAGTGGTTGACCGACTTTTGATAATTTTGTGTATTATATATATAATGAAATCAGATATTTTCTTTCGATGATCAAATGTAGGTGACTGACCTATTTAAAATGAGGTAATGCATTGACGTATTAACACAATACATTTGGCATATAATACCGTTTATTGCTCCTAATTTTAATGGTTTCTTTTAAGTCAACTTATCAATTCAAGTAAAATTGTTTTACAACATAACTTTTTTTACTTATATATGCTAATACAAATATATTTGTACAAATCATTCAAACTTATAATTTAACAGTTACATGCCTAAGTTATATATAACATCCCAATAAATTTGTACCGAATAGAGTAATTGCATCCACAATACAAAAATAATTCAAGTGTTTTCTAAACGTTGTTCCAATTTTTCTGGGACTTATATCCTTTTACATATATATTTGTACAAATCATCCTAATCTTTACTTAAATAGTTTCATTCATAAGTTATAAATAACATCCCAATATATTCGTAAAACAATTTGTAAGACCTAAATGAAAATAATCGAAATACAACTCTCAAGTGATCCATTTATTTAAATAGATATTTTTTATTTATCCTTATATTTTTATAGTTAATGTCGTTAATAGTTTATAGAAAACATCCCAATAAATTTGTAAAACAATTTCCAAGGACCAAAGGAAAATAATCCAAATATAATTCTCAAGTAATCCATTTGTGCAAATATATATGTTCTATTTATCCTTATATTTTTATAGCTAACATCATTAATAGTTTATAGAAAATATCTTAATAAATTTGTAAGATAATTTTCAAGAACCAAATGATAATAATCGAAATACAACTCTTAAGTGATCCATTTATACAAATAGATATGTTCTATTTATCCTTATATTTTTATAACTAATGTTGTTAATAGTTTATAGAAACATCCCAATAAATTTGTAAGACAATTTTCAAGGCCCAAAGGAAAATAATCGAAATACAACTTTCAAGTGATCTATTTATGCAAATACGTAGTTCTATTTATCCTTATATTTTTTTAGATAATGTCGTTAATAGTTTATAGAAAACATTCCAATAAATTTGTAAGACAATTTCTAAGGCCCAAAGGAAAATAATTCAAATACAACTCTCAAGTGATCCATTTATACAAATACGTATATTCTATTTATCCTTATATTTTTATAGATAATGTCGTTAATAGTTTATAGAAAACATCCCAATAAATTTGTAAGACAATTTCTAAGGCCCAAAGGAAAATAATCCAAATATAACTCTCAAGTGATCCATTTATGCAAATACATATGTTCTATTTATCTTTATATTTTTATAACTAATGTCGTTAATAGTTTATAGAAACATTCCAATAAATTTGTAAGACAATTTCCAAGGCCCAAAGGAAAATAATTGAACTACAACTCTCAAATGATCCATTTATGCAAATACGTATGTTCTATTTATCCTTATATTTTTATAGATAATGTCGTTAATAGTTTATAGAAAATATTTCAATAAATTTGTAAGACAATTTCCAAGGCCCAAAGAAAAATAATCCAAATACAACTCTCAAGTGATCCATTTATGCAAATACGTATGTTCTATTTATCCTTATATTTTTATAGATAATATCATT